CTTATCCAGGTTGTTGTAAAAGTCCGCATTTCCAGCACAAAGATATCTTCCCAGCAGAGTGGCATGTGTGGTGAAGACCGTGGCCATGGGAATCTTCCGGGTCCGAGACAAAACGAGACCAGGGCCTGCCTGCCACTCATGGAAGTGGGCAATGACGTTGGGCTTGTCTCCAAGGTGGTCTGTTAACTGGAAGACAGAACGTGTAAAACAGCAGAACATGTCTGATTAGGCGTGTGCTGAACAGGCCTCAGACGGACCTCTTTGAAGAACCAGGCGATCAAGGAGCCCAGGATGAGGGAGTCGTTGGCCTCTCTGTCATGAAACGGCAAGCCGATGTGGCAGGCCTCCCACAGGTCCCCCTTCCAGCGGTCCAGATTCCATGCAGCTGAGTTGATGTCAAACAGAATCACGAAGGGGCTACCCTCAATCAGCCAGCGGCCAAAGTGAACCTGCAGCAGACAGGAAAGCTCAGGAGAAGTAAAACAATCAATGCAAGATTTCACCACAGGTGTAAAACCTTCATAGGAAATGTCACATCCTTGCTGTGTCTCCTTCTGTGTTTTAAAGCTGGAATGATTATTATTCAGATGACTTCTAAACCTTGTGTGATTAGTTTCACACCCCTGTACTCCTCTGTAAGTCTCTAGAGACTGCAGGAGCCCCTGTCCTTAAATGAAGACGTGTCCTCGCTCTGGAAGACTACACTGACCACAGATGAGTCAGAACCTTACGGATCATCAGAATCTGGACTCCATCCAGTGACTGAACTCCTGCAGCACACATTTCTGTCAATTAGAGGGCAAACCCTCCTGATTATGATCTGGCAGGTTTCAGCCATGACAGAACAACCATTAAAAAGCTAAAACACAGAACTCAACACACTGAAACAGTATTGGCTGTTAGCTAACTACTTACAGGAAAGTATTTATAAATGAAAGGAAAAATTCAATTGGTGCTCAGTAAAAGCTGTTCGTTCACTCACTCACTTGCTCTCACTCACTCACTCATTCACACCTTGGGGCTATTTAGAGTCTCCAATTAACATAAAATGCATGTTTTTGGTTTGTGGGAGGAAACCAGAAAAAAAAACAGGGATTACATGCTAATTCCACATTGAAAGGGCAGGGTTGGGACTTGAACCTGCAACCTTGAAAATGTTTATTCTGTATCATCCATTTATCTACATTCATTGTAAAACACACACACACCTGGCAGCCATTGTGAATCAGAGCATCCATGGCCTTCCTGACAGCAGCGTTAGGCGGATCACAACCTTCCACCTGAGTCTTAAAGTTGTGCTCAAAGTACGGCCCCATCATGTAGAAGTTCTCCCCCCATTCATCAACTGTGATCTTCGCCTTGGATTGGATGACCGTATAAATGCCTCCAACTGTAGGTAAATGTTTTAAAAATGAGTTACAGGACAGTGTTTGACTTTAAAGAGGAGCAGTCACGTTTAGGACTTCTGACTAAAGCAGCTTAGTGAGAAAACGTTTGTGCTTAATGTTTAACTCCACAGAGGGAGCAGACTCCAGCCTGAGGGGATTTCAATATTTACTCTAAAGAGCAAAGATTGTGTTTTACGCAAACGCTTCCAAACACACACACACACACACACACACAAAAAAATACATCGGAGCGCTTAACCACATCAACGACCAGGGACCCTGGTTTATCCTGTTTTTTTTTTAAGAAGTAAACCAACATAGTTTTCTTTTCTTCTTACATTTCAACTGAATTATAACATCTGACTGCTTTTTGATGAATGAACCAGTCCAATCAAAAACACTTCATTATAATGAATGAATCAGAATTCTTCTACTGAATCAACCAACAAGGCCTTACTCTTGTTGGTGACCTCCCAGGCCACTTCAAACAGCAGCAGGTCTTCCACGGGAAGCTCGTCCTCCTCCCAAGCCGGCAGCAGCCCGCTCAGGGACGTCATGGACAGGGAACGGGGCAACGGCATCTTACAGATTCCTGAATTACAATCAGCTTCAAAGAGAAGAAGCAGTTCCTCCGTCTCTGGAGTCTAGAGAGAAAAGATCCAAGCTGGTCCACAGTTGGAGGTCCTGAGCTCTGTGGGGCATGTCCTCACAGGAGGAAGCTGGACAGGAGCTTCAGCTCCTCCTACTGGAGAGTCAACCTGACCAGAAGAATGACAGTGCAGCAAAAAGTCAGACTAATGAAGAGTGTAACATTCAACAAAACATGAATACCTGACTTTTTATTCCTGTAGTCTGAAGGAAAAGCTGTTTGGAACATCTGGTTCTTAGGAGTCGTGATTCAAAATAAACATGTTAAAGCGGTATATATTTCCTACACACACACAGAATTATTTTAGCTGATGCTCTGAATCATCACCGTAACTTCTTGCTTCACACATTTAGAATTTCACTTTATTTGATAAAAATGTTGTTTTTTATTTTCCATCCTTTTCAATAATGGTAACATTCGGGCAGTCTATTTGTTGGAACTAAAACAAAATAATTGCTATTAAGAGTTAACATTGTAAGTTAGAGCTGTCCGGCATAATTCGCTCCCATGGTTTGAGCTAAACTAAATTACTCATAGACAACCGTCATCCTGTCATAGAAATATGAGGAAATAAGTTTGTTTCATTCTTTATCAAAACTGAGACACATTTAGTACCGTATTCATTAGGTGCTATAGATAAGGTCAACTGGTAGCAAAACATTCCAGTTAAATTTTGCTGTTATGCACCTAGAAAATGTATGAAACAGAACCAGGGTAGTAAATGATTGAAAAGAATTAGTGAATTCAACTTGATTTCTGAAATAAAGGAGAGGTAAAGAGGTCCTTCCCTCATATTTAATACATTTGCAGTAGTCTCTAGTAGGAATGAAAGCCTTGTAAGTTGTACTGGGGGGGGGGGGGGGGGGGTGCTCAGAGGCACCTGTTTCAGCACGTAGAGTCCACTGATCTCTGAACAGTGATAAGGACGTACATTCGCATATCACACACAAAAGCAAAAGGCATCAGTGATGGTACTCTTAGTAAAGAGTTCAACTCCCTGCAGCGCCCCGCTGATATAACAGGCATGTCAATGCAACTCCATTGTGTTGCTCATCTATGAAATGTTGTCAGTTTTTTTATCATCTATTCAGAGGGTAATTCATTATTATCATGGGAAATTAACAACGCATACTGCTAGAGCTATCAATCAATCAATAATTTCTAACAATTTAATTTAGTCATTCAGCAGATTATCTGAGATGCGTTGCAGAATAAAAAGACGATGCACATGGCATTAATAAAAACACCTGGTTTAAATTATTCACATTCTGAGTAAAAGTGCATCCAGGGCTGACTTACCAAGACAGGCCCTCAGGTGCCGGAGCCTCCTTGGTGATGGAGGTGTTCAGGGACCAGGTCAGGTTGTTCATCACATCGACTCTCAGGAACCATAGCAGTGTTCTTGATGTAGTAGGGGTTGTGTGTCAGCTGCTTCTTCCTGAAGCTGATCACCATTTCTTTTATGCAATATATTTTGGCCGAGTGGTATTGCCAGAGTATGATGACATCATCGACAGGCGCAGGACCCCAAGCAGATCCGGAAACAACGCCAGAATACTAGCATCGGCAATGCATTCTCTCAATGGAATTAACTGAAGGACCATCAAAATCTCAGGAGTCACTCCGAGGTTGCATGCTTTCTGCTCCACAGGGAACATTAACGTAATGTTTTTTGAGCTAGCAACAGTCATGGTGATATGGTGTTAAACGACTCTTAAATATACAGTATGTACTGCCCCCTTGCACCAGGAAACTACACACTGCCACTTTGGTTATGACCAAATGGCATTTTATAATTAGTTGAATCTAATTTCATCTACAACTTAACATAATTCACTACAATCAGCAGGCTTAAAACTGGACCCGTTGTGATTTGGACATGTTGCGTTGTGTAGTTTTTACATGAAGAAGAAAAATTATTGAGTGGTTATAAAGATCTCATCACTGGAGGGAAATACTGATGATAACCACTCTAGTTTTGATCTGATAAAGCAGGTGAGTGAAAAAAGTCCAAAGCATCATTGTAAACATAACATAAACTTTATTTTCTTTATGAGAGCCACTGAGGTCAAAATATGATTTTGTTAACTCAAAGGTCCACTTCTACTTTCTGGAGCAGTCTAGAACTCTGTTGGACTCATTAAACATTCATTAATCTCTCTAATCAGTGTTTTTAGATGACTCATCTCATTCATGCTGTAGTTCAGTGTGATCAGCCATCTTTCATCATTATTACTATAATTATAATTATTATTTCATTCTGTTCGCTGTCCAACTTTTATTCCTGTTTTGAGGTTTACCCTTTGTGATCTGAACATAGATCTGTGTGATGCAGACCAGAAATCTTTGGCCTCTAATTCCATTTTTAGTTCTTTTTAAAACACAGGAAAGGTTTTTCTTTACCTGCTAACGTTTCATTTGCGGCTGCAAACATCGTCAGAGCTGACGCTGATGGTGGCGTCATTTACTTCTCCATTTATCCGTTTATCTCTCCCCTCTCCGATGATTCAGTCCCATGCGCGATCCAATGAGTAAACTCCATCGTCTCTGTTCATGGTCCCACATCCACGTCTCCTTATCTCTATTGCTTCTTTTATCCATCTTTTGTATTTCTGTTGTTCGGTGTTTATGATCCTTGTGTTGTCCCAGTCCATTATATGGTTTTCTCTTGTGCAGTGATCTGTTACGGCTGACTTCTTTATTGTGCTTTCTGCTTCTTCTTTTGCTGCTCTTGTGTGTTTTCGACTTGCCTCTTTCTCGCACTCCTTTCTATGTTCTATTGTTCGTGTGTTGAGTTGGCGTCCGGTTTCTCCTATGTATGTTTTATTGCAGAGTTTGCATGGGATTTCGTAAACGACTCCACATTTAAGTCCAGCTGGTATCTTGTCTTTTGGGTGTACTAGTCTGTTTCTAACTGTTGTGTATGGTTTTGTTGGTGTGTTTATGTAGTTTTTTCATTGTTGCTCTTACTTTTTCTGTTACGCCTTTGATGTATGGTAAGGTTATCACTGGTTTTGGTTCTTGTCTTTCTGGGTTTCTGGTTCTTTGCTTTGGGCCCTGCGGATACCCGACATGGACAATAAACAAAGGAAAACGGCAAACAACAACAGAAAGAAAAAAACAACCAAAGCAAAGAACCAGAAACCCAGAAAGACAAGAACCAAAACCAGTGATAACCTTACCATACATCAAAGGCCTAACAGAAAAAATAAGAGCAACAATGAAAAAACACAACATAAACACACCAACAAAACCATACACAACAATTAGAAACAGACTAGTACACCCAAAAGACAAAATATCAGCTGGACTTAAATGTGGATTCGTTTACGGAATCCCATTCAAACTCTGCAATAAAACATACATAGGAGAAACCGGACGCCAACTCAACACACCAACAATAGAACATAGAAAGGAGTGCAAGAAAGAGGCAAGTCGAAAACATACGAGAGCAGCAAAAGAAGAAGCAGAAAGTACAATAAAGAAGTCAGCCGTAACAGATCACTGCATAAGAGAAAACCATGTAATGGACTGGGACAACACAAGGATCATAAACACCGAACAACAGAAATACAAAAGATGGATTAAAGAAGCCATAGAGATTTGATCGCGCATGGGACTGCATCACCGGAGGGGAGAGTGGGCAGCAGAGGGCGACAACGTCCTCTGCTGCCCGCAGATAAACGGAGAAGGAAGTGACGCCACCATCAGCATCAGCTCTGACGATGTTTGCAGCCGCAAATGAAACTTTAGCAGGTAAAGAAAAACCTTTCCTGTGTTTTAAAAAGAACCAAAAATGGAATTAGAAACCGAACACAGAAAGAACACACCAAAGATGTTTAAAAAAATCTTTGGTCTCATTTTTAAAAACAAAACATCATAAATAAATACCTCATCCTGAATAAATTCAAATGAAAGCTCCACAAAACTTTTAAGTGGACCTAAAAGCTAAACTTTCTTTGTTAAAGCTCCCCAAGGACCAACACACACACACACACACACACACACACACACACACACACACACACACACACACACACACACACACACACATTTCCTTCATGATAGATACATTTTCACACACTTTCTTTGCACCGATTTAACTACAAGAACATTTTAAAGGCAAAGCAAAGGAACAAGAACTTCAGTAACATTAAATCTAACGTGATAGGATGAAGTAAAGCTGATGCAGAGTTTAGATGATCTTCATCCACTCATCTCCTTCTTCCCTCTCTTGTGCAGTACCCAACATCCATATGTCTGGACCAGGTCTTGTCAGTCCTCACAGGCAGGCTGTAAGAACTGCTTGATCCAACAGCCTAGTGTCTCTGCACTTGCAGGACAGACGCCATCCAGCTCTGACTGAGCAGGACTCAGTTCAGAATGGTTTTAATGCTCCCCAGTTAGTCTTTTCTCCAACCGATCCAGCTTAGCCAGGTTTTCCTTCAGAAGTTTGGAACCGGGACTCAGAAGCAGGGCCCGCTGGTAGTACATCCTGGCAGCTGCATAGTCTCCCTGTGGACAAACACAGAATGGAGCATGATCAGAGTAATTAAACCTCTCTGACTCTTGCTACACCTGAACTCAGCTTCAAGTAAAAACTACGGGTGAAACTAGAAAAGTTGGAATATGGTGCACATGTCCATTTACTTCAGTAAATCAACTTAGACTGAGAGACCATCTAAAGGCTCAAGAGCCCTTTTCAGGTGTTTGGATTAATTAGCTCACAAGCAAACCCAGATATAGCCTACTCAACTCCTCTACTTGAGGTAGGAAGTTCCCTCAGACCCAGGGCTGAATAAATAACACTTTCACGTTTGATCTTGGGGTGTTGAAACTAGCGTCATGGACATGGAACGTCACTTTATTGGGGATAGAGCCTGAACTCAAGCAGGTTAAGAGACACCAACTATATGTTGGGCTCACCTCTATCCACAGCCTGTCTCCTGGAGAGGGGCTGGACTCAGTTCTGCTCTGGGTGGATGGTGCCCAGCAGGGATATCTTCCCGTCTTGCTTACCAATTGTTTGATGAGATGGTGATCTCTCTACCTCTGTGGGTGGGAGAAAGGTTCTTGGCTCATGTGGGACTAACAGCAGTTTAGACTACCCAGTTAGTTTAGAATCCTTGGATTGGGCCTGTTCTATCCCATCCTATCCCATACACCTGAATCCTTGGATTGGGCCTGTTCTATCCCATCCTATCCCATACACCTGGGCGCAGCTGTCCTACTGAAGGACTTCAGCAGGCAGTGTGACCTGGAGGAGCGTGACTGGTCTAATCTGAACCTGTTTTTTGTTGGACTTCTGTTCTGATTGTAGTTTCTTCACAACAAATTCTATCTTTCAGGGCATCAGGACAACCTAGGCCACAGGTCCCTTGGATTTAATTGGGCCTCTGCAGCAAAAGCACTGCAAAGGCCTCATTATGTCTGCATCTGTGGGTAAAGGCTTTTCACTGGTAGTGAGTTGGATCCTCCGTTGGGAAAGGTATCAAGGATTTCGTTGTATCTAAGTGTTTAATGAGGTGGGATGGAACTGTTCCAGGAGATCTTCAGCTAACATCTGATAGCTTGTTCAGCATGTTGAGTAAGACAGGGGACATGAAGTGTGCCACTTTGGGTTCCATCGAGGTGGTTTGGACATGTAATCAGGAAACCATCTGGATCCCCACTCGGGGAGGTGGTTCTGCATCCATTACGTCCATCTGGTAGGAGACTCCTGGGGTAGAATCATGACATGTTGGAGGGATAATGTCTTTAGCCTGGTCTGGACAAATCTAGGGATTTCACCAGAGGAGCATGTAGAGGGGAGACCCAGGTGTGTGAGACTTTACTGATGCGACTATTTTATAGCATTCTGGGATTTGTAGCTTTGGTGGTCTGTGCACATGTATCAAATAAAGTTGTAACATGAGCTGAAGCAGAATGTGGCCCACAGGCCTTAAGTTTGTGCTGATCTTCACAGAATAGACTCACCTTGATGTGCTGGATCCCTCCCATATTCATCCAGGCCTGAGACTGGTTTGGTTTGAGTCTAACGGCCAGCCGGTAGCTCTAGCAGAGGAGAGGCTGATTACTAATCAGATCATTGCTGTCTTTAGTTGGTTTCTGTGTAAGCAAAATAACTAGGTAGTATGAAACAGACAACACTCCAAACTGGACTTAAAGCTGCTATAGCAAATCTACAGAACGCAAACACGGTCACAGAACACTCACCCCTTCCCTTTGTTATCTTCCCTGAGACGCTTCTTCCAGAACTGGGAACCCGCATTACCGGAGGAAACGAGAGAGCGCTAAACACCTGTCGCCATTTTCCATCTCCAAACATCTTTTGTTATCCGTGACTTCAAATGGTGAATTTCTTTTTGGGACTCTGGTAGTTTGTTCTAAATTTGAAGTGGTAGCAGCCGGTGTCGGTACAGGATCTGCTCGGGTGCAAAATCGGTTCGGGTCCTTCGACTGCCGATGACGTCAAAGTACGGCAAACCCACTCGGACAAAATACACTACACATCTATACTGTTGGAAAGAAATTAGCAGTTTCGTTATTAAAATAATGTTTCTTAAGACGTAAGTTTGTGTTTATAATGGTATTAGTAAAATAAAACACTATATTGTATTCATAATGTTGAACTCCTCTTTGAGCACATCCCTTGAAGAATCATAGGTATTAGCAACACCTGTGAAATTGTATTTGCAGTAAAGAAGTGTGTCCCGTTTATTGAAGTATTTTGTGTTTAGAGTTTTTGACGTCTTGTCCATGCGTAGTTCAGTTACGCTCATAGCTGCTAGCCAAAACTCTGGAGTTAAAAGTTTTCTGGCTTTACTAAAATACCTGTCTGTACTTATTTGATTGATGGTAGTTTTACTTTCCATTAGACTCCAAATGTAATCATTTGGCACGTTTCTAATTCATAATTTGTAATAATGTAATCGGCGATATTAGCATTAGCATTCCTATGGGTTTTTCCATGTATATTAGCATTGCGCTAACCACTCTCTGCCAAATTGCAGCCTTTGCGATTAGAAAATCTCCTTTTGCCACATCGCAATTTAATTGCACATGCAGTTAATCGTTCAGCCCTAATATACATGCAGCTCTATGCTAAAAGTGTATTTTCAAAGAGGTAATGATGGATTTCTTTGTAAAAGTTGTCCATCCAACAGAAAGATTTGCCTGGACCAACGTAACGTGATAACAACGTAACGTGATTACGTAATTCCGTAAGGTTCATGTTCAGCCAATCAACTACTTAGACGTCATCGGCAGTCGACGGACCCCGAGCCAATTTTGCACCCGAGGTGTCTTGTACCGACACCGGCTGTTTCTCCTTCTCTGATATTACTGAGCCGCAAACTTCAAACTTCTCACACCAGTGGTGTTCTGTTGCAAAATGATGATGGACAACCGTATGGTCTAAGGCAGTGGTTCCTAACCTTTTCTCCACAAGGACCCCATTGCTTGTGTCCAGGATGAGCTACTGCCCCCCACAACCCCAACTCTTACCCACACACACATCAAAAGCGATTCATTACAAACTTTACACAGACATATGGAGTTGTAACTGACATACAGAGCATTGATTATACTACTAAGTGTGCTATTGAGATTTTGTCATCTTTGCAACCTCTCAACCTCAGCTCTGACATAAGTGTGAGGACCCCCTTGAAGGGTCATGGACCCCAGGTTGGAAACCACTGGTGTAAAGGTTGCTTCTGGTCTAAAACCAGTCATTGGCAGAGGTTTTTATACAATAGCGAGAGAACCACTTTATCGACCCCCCCCCCCCCCCCCCCCCCATTTTTTTAATCTCCACAATATATTTATTTTATGTCAGAACGTTGTTAAGAGGCATGAAAAGTGTTTAAGCTAAATTGTTTTCCAGATTTGCTATAGCAGCTTTAAGGTTCACACCAGATTATGTCATAATGCTGCCATGAATGATTATGAATGATGACTTTATTTACTAAAATAATCAAAACATGAGGAGTACTGTATGCAGTGCAGTACAACGTTTACTGGACCCCTAGAATGACCTTAAAGTTGTGTGTGTACAGTGTTTTTGGGAGTGTGTTTGTGTAAGGATTTATCACTAGAAGTGTATTTTGAATGAGGTTTGTGAGGTAAGGGATAGGCTGGCCCACCACAATCCAGAACCCACTACTACCAGAGTACAGGTTAGTTCACATTCATACTTCTCTGTCAGATCTCTCACCACAAATCAATCAAAGCTAAATGATTAAAAGGAACACTACATTTATATGTTGTGATAGATTTGGTATCCAACTAAAATAAAACAAAACTTTAAACAGTTTCTATGTGCTTGTTGCCAGAAACATCTGTACCAAGTAGAAAGAAAGTTTCCTGTTTATCTCTTAAGAGTGTCAGCCCTGAAAGAGGAGCCAATTGTCTTTTTTTTCTTTTGTATTTTATTAAATTCCTCTTTCAAAATTGAAATTAAAAAAAAAAAAAAATGAGTGTTAGGCCTGGGCTGAACCCCATGTGGTGTTTAAGACAGCGACCTCACCTCTCTCTTGAGTTTCCTTGGTTGTTTATTTTCCCTCAGGAAGTCAATCAGAGCTTCATGAGCAGCAGGGAATGGCTTCCAAAAACCTTCGGCTCTGATTAAATATGAGCCAAAGCTCATGGAAATGTTTTTCAGAGTGCACACAGTGCTTTTTGATAGGAGGAATCAAATCTTTAGACACACCTTTAGTTTCAGTCTGAGGTCAGATCTGAAAACAGATCAGGGTCAGACGACCTCTGGGAAACTGTTAATGACGGAAAAACATTGTTCACACAAGCAGTAGCTCAGGAGGTTGAGTGGTTTGTCCAGTGATCGGAAGTTTGCAGGTTCGATCCCGACTCTGGACAGAGAATTCTGCTGTTGTGTCCTTGGTGGTGGTCAGAGGTGGCGTCTGTGCTCAGCAGCCTCGCTTTTGTCAGTGCGTCCCAGGGCAGCTGTGGCTGCGTCATAGCTCATCATCATCAGTGTGTGAATGGATGAATGATGCTCTGTAGTGTAAAGAGCTTTGGAGTCCTCTGACTGTGAAAGGCGTTATACAAGTGCAGATCATTTATCATCATAACTATAACTGACATATCAGAGTGGCCACCATCTTGGATGGCTTCCCATGTGCAACCCCAGTGCATTTACTTCTACTGAGGAAGGTGTTTACCCGACTACAAAAACACATTTTATTATGACATATGACATGACACGATAATACAAGTGAACGCAGACACACACACACACACTGGGGCTGGAGAGCTAAAATATGGGGAGAACAAAAGTCTCAAAAGATCTGCGAGTGTGTGTCTAGATTTTTGCATAAGTATCTAAATTTGTACGTGCGTAACTAAAGATTTGTAACTTGTGTTTACATTTTCGTGTGTAACTTCATTTCTTACACATACAAATCATTGAATACGCACACACAAATCACCTGGTACACACGGACAAAACTACATTACACACAGATCAATTTACAAGTACAAAAATCCTTTTGAGAGTCTTTTCACACCTGACTGATTTGTGCGTACATGGTGCGTTTGAATGCTGGGTGGAAGTTGGGAAATTTGAATTTCCTTTGGATTTAGTCTAAACTTGTGTTGACGGGACAAATATATTTTTCTGTGGAAAAATAAGAGTATCTCAGGATCCTGTAGTTATAAAAGATATACCTACATTTAATTTTTCATCATCTAAAATTGTTTATTTAGACATATATGTTTGTGAGCCATCACAGTGAAATCGTTATAACAAATGACTAATAAATAGCAGAGCGGTTCTCTGACTGGAAAAAAGCAGGGTTCAAAAGGAGAGAAGGCGCGCGAAGATGGTATGGAGTCATAGGGCGCCTAAGCCACACCCATCTACTTTCGGACCCCGGAAGAATGAAAAAACGAATGCAAATCAATGGTGCTAAAAACGTTCTTTTCTAATTCCACTTCTTATGTGCCATGGATTTCACATATGAATCGAAGTCCGTGAATTTTAAAGAAGCATTTTGATACCAAGAACTTGCTTATTTGCGAACGGGGGAAACACTATTTTAGGTTTGGTGTGAAAATCAGTCCAGGACTACAAATGTGCTTCATTAAAGAGACGTCATCCAATCAGACACAGAGAAAAACAGAGGGAAAATGACTGTGGTTTAGAATGCATCTTAAACTATGATGAAGGATAAAAAATTCACTGAACAAGTCGGACCACAACTCCCAGCATTCAACAGACAAGGGAACGCTTTTCGGGCCAGTTTATGTGTGTGCACAATAACATTAGGTAGTTAACATATTATTGTGCACACATAAACTGGTCCAAGTGCACACATGAACTGGCCCAAAAAGCACTTGTCTGGGGACAGTGTGTCAATCTTTCAGACCTATAAAATGTCTGAAATGGTCTAAAATAATAGCTGTCTCATTATAAGCATGCTGGATTAACTTTTACTTAATTCAGAGGAAAGATCACCAGGACACTGCACCATCTTCTTCTCCCTTCTCCCGGTTTGAAGCCTGCTTTTTCCAGTCAGAGGAATACTATGTCATTTATTAGTCATTTATTTTAAACCTTTGACTATTTTTTCATGGTTCATAAACACATATATATTTAAATAAACAATTTTAGATAATGAAGGAGGGTTACCGGGGTCCCACCCTGGAGCCAGGCCTGGGGTTGGGGCCCGTGGGCGAGCGCCTGGTGGCCGGGCTTTCGCCCATGGGGCCCGGCCGGGCCCAGCCTGAACCGGATACATGGGCTCTTCCAACTGTGGACCCTCCACCCGCAGGAGGAACATGAAGAGTCCGATGCAGTGTGGATCGGGTGACAATTTCTCCCACCTCGGGCAGAGCTTTGACCACGTCCCGAGAGCAGTGGGGGACATTGACTCTGAGTGGGCCTTGTTCCACTCTGCGATTGTTGAGGTGGCTGTTGCTAGCTGTGGTCGCAAGGTGGCCGGTGCCAGTCGTGGTGGCAACCCCCGTACCCGCTGGTGGACACCAGAGGTTCGGGGAGCCGTCAGGCTGAAGAAGGAAGCCTACAGGGCGTGGCTAGTTTGTGGGTCTCTGGAGGCAGCAAACAGGTACCGGATAGCCAAGCGGGATGC